GCCTCACCTCTTGCAGATCTTGTTGACAGCTTGCGACCGCATTCACGAAGCTGAGTGAAACGACCGCAGACGTGCTAAAACGGAAGACACACTGGCAGCAACACACAGACCTTGCAGTGCTTGTCAAGGACAAGACAACGAGCATACCACTCAAACCGATCCAGTGAAAGCGGACACGGGTCAAATGCAAAGACCGTGAAACCTTGTGAAACTTCTGCAAGCTGATTCTGAGAGGAGGCCCTGTATTGGGCAGCACGCTTTGCGTGCTGCCCATCACTGGCAAGCTCAGCTACTAAAAGTCTCCGAAATAGATGTTGTGGGTCCTGAGCAACTTTGAAAAGTGCGCCCAGTGTCGTCCATTATCTGCTTAAGGCTTAGTCTGACAGCTATGTCTCTCTGATCTGGCCTGTCGTCCTTGTCTAACTTCCGACGAAAGAGCAGTGTTTTATGCCGTGCATCCACTCTCCGCATCTTCGTGCCTGAATACACAAAGCCTCTCCACGTCTGTCTGTCTCTTCTTTGCCCCCCCGATGCCATCTCACAGTCGCACACATTGCTGGCTGCAGAGTTTACAGAGGGAGAGCAGCGACAGGTCTTCACAGGAGTCCACAGGCACTCAACAGAATCGAAACAGGACCAAACCATGTCTGAACAACTGCAGCATTCGCCATGATTGCGGTTACAGGGCATTCAGGTCGGAGATCAGATTGATGATGCACTGCCACCCTGAGATCCGAGCTGTGTGATCCAGTCCGAGTCCTCAAGCAGTCGGAAGATCAGAACAACTGCAGAGTTGTAAAGAGCTCGGCAGGTTCAATTCTTCTGCTTATCGGCTCTCTTGCACCTGGGCTGAAGCCTTGAGGGCTTCAGGGATTGACGGAGTGTTGAGTTTAGGCTTTGTGAAGTTGCAGAGTCTACCTGTCTTGCTTCTTGCTTAGTTTCCGCCGCGGCAGATTGTGCACGAGGAGAGCAGTATTCGTGGAGGGAAAGACCGAGCGATATCCAACGATGCTTGAAATACCTACTGAATACTGAAAAACCGTGAGCAGAAACTATTAGACTAGACGGGCCTTACCATGCATCCTCCACACAAACAGAATCTGACCGAAATGTTGCATGCGATAAGCTCGACCCCTGGCACAATGCCGCACCCGAATTCACAATGCGAACTAGGTCTTGAGCAAGATCCTTGGGCTATGAAGCTGTGGCTGGATTGGGGATTTGGGCACAGCCCAGGGCAGCATCCTTCCGCGTGTTGTAGCTCCCAGGGCCGGGCAGTTCCTCGCAGGCACTTCACCGGAGATGGATACTATACTGAACTTAGACCCCTAGCAAAAATTATAATTTTAGCTGCTTCTTAGGGTTTATAGTAACCAAAGATTAATAATTATTTCTAAGTACCCCTAAGGCCCTAAGGATAAGGTAGGCCTCAATCTAGTCCGACTGCAGCCAGCTTGCGAGCACCACTACAAATCACTGCCACGACGACGGCGACTTCTGCTCCTACTCGTGCTGCTTCGAGCCTCAAGAACTAATAACACGGTTCCGCTGTAGTCGACGTTTCTTCAAGCTGCCTAGGCCCCCAAAAATCCCAAAAACAAATCAGGACCTATCAGGGCCTTCAGGGCTCAGATTTAAGATGTCCCGGCGCATCCCCAAGACTCCTGACACCTAATCCTCCCGCTCAACTGACGTGTGTAGGGAGCAGAGCACCTACAAATCTAGATCAGTTGTCTGAGAATCAGAGCACCCTCACACATGCTCCTACAAGTAGCGAGGAAGCGACCCCTTGAAGCCCCGAAGTCTGGAAAGCCCCCATCACCAACGGCCCCAAGACCGCCTCAGGTTATGATTTACAAGTACCATGAGGGTTTAGTTTAGGGTTTAGGGTTCTATCTAATCTAAGCTTCGATCGTGTTATCTCATCTTATCTCTAATAACATGGGAGGGGGGGAAGGCCCCAAACGCCCCAAAGCTCCTCCCCGCCCTTGGCGCCGAATCGTCGGGTCTGGGACTCGAAGCCAAGGCCCTGGAGCTGGGGGGGGCTTCTTAAGCCAAGATAGCAAGCCTTAGGCTAAGCCTTAAAGGAGGTATAGTAGCCCATATAGTAAACCTTCGAGGATTGAAGTGAAGCAACATGTATAGTAACCGTGTAAAAGGTTAAGGTGCTTGGGCTTGGCGTGTTGTTTATATTGAGGTTTGGGTAGGGGTCAGGAGCGCATCCGCTTGGGCGCTTGAGGAAATGATTAAAGGAGATTGCCTGGCGGTTGCCAAAAGCTGCGAGAGTTTCGGAGTTAGGCTCAACGATTGGCGCGGTCAAGAACGAAACGCTCGTTGAGGTCTCTGCAAGCTTTCTGTAGTTGCTCTCCTAACTTGAAACCACGTCGTCTTGTCGACAGGGAGATGAGGATGCAAGGTGGCGAATCTGCATGTTGCCTCTCTGGGCATCCACTTGACAGATCCAAACGGCTATTCATGCATGTGTGTGTGTGTGTGCGCTCGACCAAGACATCGGTGAGCATCGCCTCATCCTCTACAGTAGATGTAGGCTAGCATCGTGACGCTTGCGTAGACGAGTAGAATGCTGGCCCACAAAGTGCTAGGAAAACCTGGAACCTGATCCTATCGTGGTACCAATCTTCATCCTGACTACCGCATCCTTCCCGGAAAAATGAATCAAATACAAGGAGCAAAAAAGATACAATGACACAACTAGTAAAATAGTAGCAACAAATGAACAATTCAATGGGAATAGTAATGAAAAACACCAAGAATCAACCACTAAGCCACTCGCAAGCAAACCCCTTCATCCACACCTCACAGACCCCTGAAACCTCAAATAACCCCGCCAATTTCAAAAGCAACCACCCTGGAGCCTAAACCCCTAAACCCCCAAATCCCTAAAATCCCTAAATCTCAAGGAGCCTTCAGAAAGCCTCGGGAAGACCCTATCGTAAACTAACAATAAGAACAATCAAATGATAATCTCATCATGGTAGTAATACCGAGATTGATACTTATTATCATTATATGCATATTAATACTACCATCAGAAAATCTTCCTTAGAATAAGCACAGCAAAACCCGAAGAAGCCCCCGAAAGACTGGCCTTCGGCTTCCCGGAGGCAGGGTAGGCCTCGACCTGCCGGGGGGGGTCAGCGCGCTTTGTCTTTCGGAAGGGGGCCCCCCCAAGGGGGTTTTGCGTGAGATATTTTTCGGAATCAGTATACTGCTAGTAGTAGGGGTAGTAGGAGGAGGAGTGTTGGTGGTGGTGGTAGTACTGTCGTGGCAGTAGGAGAAGAGGGATAAGAACACGACGTTTAAGAGTAGGAGTGAGAATAAGAAAAATCAGGCTCCGACGATTTCGAGTCCACAAGGGAATCATTTTTTTCGATGGTTTCATGTGTAGTCAACCGCTTATATATGAAGCTGGTCATTTCAACTGGTATGATTGCTCCTGCTGTTGCTCAGATGACGATGATCATGCATTATCAATGTCTTTGGCAGCGATGAATATTCCCGTGATGGCATTGGCAGCAGCAGCAGCAGCAGCAGCAGCAGCAGCAGCAGCAGCAGCAGCAGCAGTAGTAGTAGTAGTAGGTAGTAGTAGTAGTAGTAGTAGTAGTAGTAGTAGTAGTAGTAGGAGTAGAGCGTAGTATGCAGCAGCAGTAGTCGCCGTAGAAGTAGCAGCAGTAGCAGCAGTAGCAGTAGCACGGCAGAGCAGTAGTAGCAGCAGTAGTGGCAGTAGCAGTAGCAATGCAGTAGTTAGAGGAGCAGCAACAGCAACTATCAGCCTCACTACCAGGTTGTCATAGTTCGCATGCTTCTTGTTGCAATCATTAAATTACTGTTGCAGCAAGGGGTCAAAGATCACGTGCAAGGCCAAACCTTTGCTCTTTGTGTTGCTGTCACTATTCACTGCGCATTGTAACATGACTAAATCGGGAATACACAAGACTTGACCAAACATGCCCGTCTAGTGGGATTTAGAGGAAGACCCAACTTCGATCCTGCTACAGCACGGAGGGCGCTTTTTTCGAGGGGCCTATGTTGGCAGCCTCCGAATTCCGAACAGGTACCACAATTCGGAATCATCCCCCATTCATTGTAGTAACGAGCATAATATTACTAAAACAATTCCTGCATAAAATATTAATAATAATAATATTACTGAATAATCCCCATGCGTTTCCGAGCGGCCGCTGCTCGGTTGAAGGTCCCTTTCACCTTGCCACCGGTCACGTCCGACAGCTTGTACCTGCCGTAAGTCCGGGTGCAAAGCAGTGGCTGTCACAATCATCGCACGGGTAGAGGCAGAGTGAAGTGCAGCAGTATTGAAATTATTCAAGATGGTCGACATCATCGCCGTCGTCTTTGTCCATCGAGCGGAAGAAGCAGGCGCGGGCGCACCATCCGGGGCCCGGCGCCGTGAAGCCCGGAGGCAGGCTGGTGGAGCGCTGCGCCGACTTGGCGAAGACGGGCTCCCGAGAATCAGAAGAGCCAGGGCCACCAGGAGTTGAAGTTCATCCATGTGTATGTTTGTCAATCTACTTGTGTGCAAGGTCTAGTTGTGTGCAGGGCTTTTGACTTCCAGACTTCTTCTGGGTCTTCAGGGTTTCCGGGCGAAGGCCTCCTGCCTCCTGCGCTCAGCTTGGATCGGAAGGATCGCACCATGGACCCATACAGTATGTATATACATACAAAAAAGTTATTAGCATATATTTGCTATTCTGTTTATATCTATATATATATATATATATATACACACACACATATACTTAGGCCTTATTGTGGTCTCTAGATGTGTACTAAGGGCCAAGGTAACCCTTTACTCAGCAACCCCAAGCTTAAACACGGAAATCCAACACCCAAAGCCCAGGGCCCCTTAGACGGGGTTCGCGCTGGGAGTGGGCTTCAGCTGCCAGAAAGGCTTCCTGTTTTCAGCCCAGGGCTGGAAAGCATCTCAGGGTGGCTTCGATATTCGACTTATATAGGGGTGCTTAGCCCTCGGATGCTGAGATAGTGACAGAGCCAAAGCCCTCGCCCTTGGATGCAACGTGCTGCACGGCACCGATGGCTTTGAGACTCTTCGGGCTGTACCTCGGATTCTGAAGCCGGCTCAGGGTCCTCCCTGGAGGCCGTGCCGGGGATTAGGGCTCAGGGGCTCAGGGTTCCAGACCTCACTTCACCGTGTCTGCACTTTTTGACGTGCAAAAAGAGCGGCCCAGGACCCGAATGCAAGGGACAACCTGGGATGCCCACGCACCCGGCGGAGGACCGACCTGGCCGTCCTTCTGGTACTGCGCCACCATGATGTCCTCGTGTACCGGCTGGGGCCGAAGGGTTCGTTGCCGGGTGCTGATGTGCGTTGTCTCCCGGTGCCTTCGAAAGGACTCTCAAGACTTCGTAAAAGCGGCTGCCGAATTTAAGACTCTGCTTTACACACATACAGACAAAGAGAATGCGAGACGTGCACATGTGCGTGTGTTTGTGTGTGTACATGCATGCCTGCATGCATGAATGTACGTACGTATGGGAGACTGTGAGGATCAAAGCTACGAGAGGCGGCCTGTCTTGCAGGCCGCACCTTCATGCAGAGACCTCGGCATGGGAAAACCGACAAGCAGATCGTCTTGTCTCGAGGACCACATCTTTTTGTTTAAGGAGGTCGCACTAGGCACCTCTGCCCGAGGAGGCCTAGTGCGAATCATTGAAGCAACGAAGGCCTAGGAACCTAAGCAGAGCCCACACCGGAGCTGCCAAAGCGACAGCGCTCCTTGGGCACTGTAGATCTGAAGCAGGAGCTCGGAGGGAAGACTTTGCGGACTCTCCTGGAGCATGGAAGGCTCAAACGCACCGCAGCTTTGATTTGGGTTGGGCGGGGGGGAAACTGAGAAAACCATACCCAACCGGACCTTAGGGCTTCTACCAAAAGCAGACTCCAACAAGCTTCCGCAGTTAAGGTCAAACCCTCCGCTTGACACAGCAGCGCTTTCAAGTCCGGGGAAAACCTTAAGCACTCGTGATGACGGACCCTGTTTGCTTTGAGGCGGGTTATGTCGCGAGTCTTGTGCTCAATTCCTCATCGGTGGCATGGCTGCTTCAACACAGAAGGTCTGAACCCGCAGACCATTGCATAAATCGCCGGAGCGGGTTTCCTCGCATTCGCTCCCCCTGCCCGTTTGTCACATGTTAGCTCAGCTCACTCGTCCGCACATCCCGCATCCTCTAAAGCTAAGCCCCCAAGTGCCTGTCGACACAGCTGCCCATCAACATCCACCCTGCAAGGCCTACTATTTTATGATACTATAGTATATTATATTGTATAACATAACTTAATCCAAGTTCTCATCATACTTAGGCTATTTGTAGTTTTCATCTAAGTCCAAGAAACACAGGAACGAAGCTTCCAGACACGACGGTTCCAAATCCTTGGCCCTGAAACCCTGCCAGACCTGACCAAACCACAGAAAACCGTGGAAACCCCTATTCCAAACCCTTAGTCAAAGCGAAACGACACATAAATTCCGATACAATCTTGAAGGCCGAAGCATGTCATGAGACCCGATAAACAACAAACGCACAACAAAAACACAAGAAAACAACCAAAAAAAAACAGAAGCCCTCTCCGGGTCCCCTCGTCCCCTCCTCGGCTCGGACCCCGGGTCGCTGCCCTGGGAGGCCTCGGGACCGGAAGGCCGGAGCCCCTTTGGCCAAAGGACTTCCCCAGCGGCATTCTCGGGTTTAGGGTGGAGGGTGGAACCCGGGCTTGGGGTTAAGGACTTATATAGAGGTTCTAGGGTTAAGGACGTTAAGGATCTGTATAGAGTTGAGGACTTAAGGAGCTTCGGGCCGAAATTTTGGAGCTTCAGGCTTGAGGGCTATGGGAGTGGGCTCTGCCGTCCTCGAGGTGTCGGGTTCAAGGCCAGGGATTTCAGGCTCGGGGCGTCCAAGACACGGACTTGAGGTTAAGGGCAAGGCGCCAAGGCGCTGAAGATGTCAAGGTTTGATTTTCATCGAGTTCTTTTGAAAGCAGCCGACAGTCCAGGAGGAGAGAGGAACCCTAAACACTACCTTAAACGATCCACCCGGGACCCTCTGAAACCGAACTGCTGAACTCCCAACCTCCGACACACAACTGCTGACAACTTTTGTGGACCTCCCCAAGGACGCCCTCGTAGTAGGCACCGGGTCCCGGCTCCTCCCAGTTTGGAGGAACCAGGCTTGTTGTAGGAAGTCGCGGGTGGGGCTAAACGGAAGGTCTATGATTCGAGAGTGGCTGAATTTAGGACTGAGGTCCACAGAAGCGGCGCCGTCGGTCAGAGGAGCAAGGGGACATGCAAAAGAAACAGCTGACTATCGCAGTCGGCATGAGTAAATTAAGCTGGCAAGCCTTCGCTGCTTACATATTATATGGCCATGGTCCACGTAAAACGCCATTGACCGCGGCAAAAAACTTGTATCAGGATGTCTGCAAATACGCCTTTCTCGTCCACGAAGCGAGCTCTCCTGCCCCTTCTTCGGGTCTGCTATGCCTCGCCGTGCCTCCATGCTACCTCAGCTAAGCGCAGCAAGGAGTAACACCGGACTGGGAAGTCATACCAGGAACCGTTGCGCGAAAGAAACGGAAGCTGTGGGGCCGATGCCGAAGGCCAGACTGCCGGTGCTGCCGAGGATGGAGACGGTACCGGTTCTCCCACTGGTCTTGCCATCGCTGCCTTGAGGCGGTCAAGACAGACATCGCGGATGTGCTCTCTGATCCTTGCGATGATGACGAGACGATGATGATGCTGGTGCTGGCGGTGGTGGCGGTGGTGGCGATGGTGGCGGTGGTGGCGGTGGTGACGTTGCATGTCTGCTTCCGTATTTGTATCAGCACCTCGGATACTCTCCTCAACCTTCCTAATCGCAAAAGCAAACTGCAATTAAAAGCAGAGGTGTAGCCGAAGTGCTAGCGGTGACTTTAGTGCTCCTGGCAGTAGCAGCACGAGAGTCGCAGGAAAAGTAGCCGTGGCAGCAGCGCAGTCGCAGTCGCCGCCGCAGTAGCAGCAGCAGCAGCAGACCTAGCTTTTGCACTTGCACTAGTACTAGTGGTGGTGGTAGTAGCAGTAATTAGCGGTAGTAGAGGTAGCAGTAGCAGCAGCAG